GAAGATAGTAAAACAACAATCAAAGTCTGTTCACATGCTGCTGATATGATCACCAAGACGTTGCCAAGTTGCAAGTTTTTCAACTGTATGCAGTTGAAAAAGCTGCATGAAGAAAGCTAGTTTCTTGATGTTATAGAGTTAGATCCAATGTGGAGATTTATGAGATATTGGATCGAACTCTAGTATGGTCGAAGAGTGGCTTCTGATTCGACAGGAATTGAGTATGAGGTCGAAGTCTATTCGCATGCTGTTGTCAAAGATAATGCGTGTTGTAGTCGAAGTTTGTTCTAACATGCATTAGTCAATATTGCTAAATTGTTAGCATATTTCATTGGGCCTTGCTTGTAAGTCCAGGTGTTTAAGTTAGCTTGTACCCTAAGTTAGCTTGTAATGGATAATTGTTAAAAAGTCCATCAGGTTAGTGTGTTATTTTTCTTATAAATAGGATGCTAGTTTCTCAATCTTGACAATAAGGAAAAATAGGAAGATAAAATCATAATTTCAAGAGAGAGAGATTATTTTGTTATTCTTGTATACTTGTAATCTTGTTCTAAGAGAAACGAAAAAATAGCAGTATTATAACCAATCCTTGTTGTTTTACCTTGTCTTCTTTGTTAACTCTAACCCTTGTGTGTTTCTTGATCAAGAAGAAACCATTTATACTTTGTTATAAGGTATCTGATTCACAACAATGTTGTATTTATATGGAGTTTATGAATTACATGTTTGAATTCACTTAATGAAATAAAAGTTAGTCATAACAAATTTGTTTGATTGAGGTTGACGATTGCTATAAATGTTTAATGAATTAAATATATTTCAGATATATTTAAGTGGAATTAAAACTTCAAATTAAAAAGGTTAGCAAATGAAGAATGACATAAAATTTGTGTATATGACAAAATAAATGACAAAAATGTCATGATGATAGTTTATCGAAACTATAAAAAATATGAGCATATGTTGTATATGGAAATTGTACTAATATGACAAAAGTGTTATGATTTGATGATAGATGACAAATACTATCAAGAGTACATAAAGTAATCATATGCGTTATTAGTTGAAAAATTAAATATTCGGAATTTATTAAAGTTTGAAAAAATCTTGCAATTCTTTGACGAAATGATTGACAAATATATGATGTCTTTGGATATAATTGAGTACAATGAAGACATCATTAGGGATGTGGGACAAGTCTGTATCTAATTAATCATTAATAGTGGAAACTCGACTCACACTTGATTATTGTTAAGTCTTAAGTTCAATAATGAAAGTACACTATTAGAATAATTGAAGTACTTAATGACAGATACATCAAAAGGAGTAAAAGTAATTGGAACATAAGAATAAGTGTGGTAGGATGATGTTTTCCTTTTAATAGGCATATAGTATATGTTTGCTGGAATGCATAATTATGGGTGCATTTTTGATATAGTCTACCTATATGAGAATGAAGTGGCGCCGCTTCATAGAGTTCAAGGGCTTGACTCTTAAATTCTCATGAAAAAGATATGAGACACAAGATCTTATTAAATGTGTCATATTAATAATTCGATCAATGATACCAATATTTTATGTGTGAGTTATGTACGTTTGTTCTAATGAATAATTGGTTCAAAGGTTGTCTACCAATCTATTCGTGGATGAGTGAAAACTTAACTTATTAAGTATTGATTCAAATCGTAAGATAACTTTATCTTAAACCATAAAATTTCCTAAATAATGAATTTAGATATATTTTGAAAATGACGGGGGATTGTTGGAGAAATTTCCAAAATATTAAATTGATAAATAGTAATGGTTAAATTATCAAAATAAATGGCCAAAAGTTGCAACTTTTTAGAATTGAACCAAATACCTTATTATGATAAAGCACATGGTCATAAGGTGCAACCATCAGATCAACACAACTTTTTATGAAATAATTTGCTATTATTGATATATAACGGTTCGCGAATGATAATGTTTAAACCATTAAAACATTGTTTCTCCTCATCCATTGCTACAAATTTTTCTATAAATAGAAATACTTGTTAGACATAACAAAGAGACACAAATGTTTTAAGTGCCAAAAATTATATTTAAGTCATTCTTTTATTTTGTGTGTGTACGAGAATAAATAAAAAAAATTTATTCAATAAAATATTATTAATCGATATGCTTAATGTGAATACGCGATTCATATTAAGGTTTCTAAAATATCATAAAGATAATTTACTGATTAACTATTTGGCATCAAAACTCAGTGTAAACACGTTTTAGAATTATTTTACATAATTATTAAGAGATTACTAGAATTATATATTGCTTTATTTCTGAACGAATATAATTAACGTCATAAAAAATTACAAGAGGTAGTAACCACCACTGAGATTGTAATAATATTTATTCAGGGGATTTGATGAGGCTTATTATGAAATAGATTATCATGAGAATGGCATCATCGCCTCCATTCTTTATTGTACACCCAAAAAAGTTAATTAAAATATTTGGTTGAAAAAACGTTAAAATTAAAATATATAACCCAAGGAGTACCACTTGATACATACAGCGCATCTAAACTTAGAAAATAATATTATAACATGAAAAATGTTGACATTAAAAACCATATCAAATTTTATAATAATTATTAGAGTCATAGTGGGTTACAATATTGATTAATTATGCGTAATAAGTAAATAAAGAAAAGGTTAAAAGAAGAAAAGAAAATAAAAATAAAAAATGAATTTTGACAGCCACCAACCCCTCTCACCTACTACGATCAGAAGTACATCGTGGACTGTCGCATAAACACATGACCAGTTGTCTCTATTTTTGCTCCTAACACTACCACTTAGGGTCTGTTTGGTTCAAATGAGGGGGAGGGGAGGGGAGGGATTTTAATGAAGGGGAGGGGAGGGGAGGGGAGGTGAAGGAATTTTTTAATTAAATAAGTGTTTGGTTCAAAAGAGAGGAGGGGAGGGGAGGGGAGGGATTTTAATTAAAAATGTGTTTGGTTCAGAAGGGGAGGGGAGGGGTTTTATTAATAATTTACATTTTTATCCTTATGATCTTATATAAGTCATATGATATTAAAATGTGAAAAATTCATGCGTATTTTTGTTGGTAATAAAATTTCTAATATTGAGTGATTAAAAAAATATTTATTTGTCACTAAAGTTAAAAAATTGAGTACAATCGATTCGACTTATAACTTTCCAACATAAATTAAACTATATGCCAATAAAATCGTTTAAATTGTGATGAATCATATAACAAAACAAATATATAAAATAACTTATTACTAAATATTAATGGTTCAAAATATTTAATAAAATGAATAAACAAAAATAAATAAAATGATATGGTTTACAATTTGATATAAAAGAAAATATGATAGAGTACATAACAAAATTAAAAGAAAAAACGAATATAACGAAACATAATTTTAAAAAAAAAAGACAATGATTATGATTTATATTAATTATAAAAATTATAAAATAATTTGAAGGTGAAGAACAATTATAATAAATTGATGAAAACAATCGAGAAAAAACAGTAACATAAAAGATAACAAATAGTTTTGAAATAATAAAATTAAATTGAGGATATTTTAGTAAATATAATAATTTTTAAATATCAAAACTAATATTCCCTCCCCTCCCCTCCAAATCCCCCCAATTCGGAGGGAACCAAAAAGTGTGTTTTGGAGGGATTTTGCTCCCCTCCCCTCCCCTCCCCTCCCCTCCTAAAATTTGAACCAAACATATTTAATTAAAAATTTCCCCTCCCCTCCCCTCCCCTCCCCTCCCCTCCCCTCCATCTACCCCGAACCAAACACACCCTTACTCACCAAAAAGTCAACATCATCTAACGCGGTTACCAATATTAAAAATTGGTTTTGATAAATATCAAAATAATAAAAAATTAGTTTAGATTCTTCGTACATTTAAAATTAAATCAGAGATTCAAAATTATGTATAAGAACAAAGAAAAATTTAAATACAACGTATTTCCAATACTAAATCAATTCAATCAACATTGAGTTTAGTTGAAGAAGCTAATCTTCCCCAATATAAAATTACAAGAATTATCTATGTTTCGTGTTCAATAATGCCACTAATAAAATTATATTATGAGAAACCTATAAAACAGAATCTAAACATGCAATAAAATTAATTATTTCTTGGTAAAGTCAATCCATCCAACCACAGACCATTCGGTCAATGCTCGCCCCAAGGTTCTTCCCTAATAAAAATAGATTCTACTAAAAATAAATTCTTACCCACCCATAACTTTTTATTGGTATCAGCACTTTTACATAAAATGTACCGTTTTTAATTTTTAATTTATTTTAAAATTAATTATTATGAAAAACTGGCATGATATTATACTAGGTGCCTAACTAAATTTTAGAGTGTTCATCTTTATAAAATTATTTTTAAAATAAATAAAATATGAAAATAAGAAAATATAATATAAAATTATTTTTATACTCTCCGATAAAGAATAAGTATATTATCAAATCACACATTTATTTTTAAAATAATAATATAATATAATAAATATAAAGATTTTAATCGTGATAATGTATAGAATGTTATACATTAATAATCACAATTTTTTATTAATTAAAAAAAATTTTCAACATTAAATTTCAATGTGAATTAATAAAGAATTTCAACATTAAATTATGAGTTTAATAGACATGTATCACCAATAATTTTTTTTTGGCTGTCACTCAATAAATAATCATCAATCTGTCACTGCATCTTCTATTATATCCAAATTCAAAAACTATAAATTTCATTATCAAATTAATTATTTTAAAATACAATGTCAAATAGTTCCTCTTAAATAATCATTATATATAAAAAAAAAAAAAACTAGATAAATAAATGGCAAACACACCAAAACCACAAACTCAACCTAACCCACCTAACCAACAAAAACCTCTCTATAAAAACTCAACAACCACTCCAAACATTTCCATTACTCCAAAACACCAAAACACAAAAATGGATCTCCTTCTTCTCGAAAAGACCCTTTTAGCCCTCTTCCTCGCTGCCATAACCGCCATCACAATCTCAAAACTCCGCGGAAAACGCTTCAAACTCCCTCCCGGCCCCTTCCCCGTCCCCATCTTCGGCAACTGGCTTCAAGTCGGCGATGATCTCAACCACCGCAACCTCACCGACTTAGCCAAACGCTTCGGTGAAATCCTCCTCCTCCGCATGGGACAACGAAACCTCGTCGTCATCTCCTCCCCCGAACTCGCCAAAGAAGTCCTCCACACCCAAGGAGTCGAATTCGGCTCCCGAACACGGAACGTCGTCTTCGACATCTTCACCGGAAAAGGCCAGGACATGGTTTTCACCGTCTACGGCGAACACTGGCGCAAAATGCGTAGAATCATGACCGTCCCGTTCTTCACAAACAAGGTTGTGCAACAGTACCGATTCGGTTGGGAATCGGAAGCCGCGAGTGTTGTGGATGATGTGAAGAAAAACCCTGAAGCTAGTGTTAATGGAGTTGTGCTTCGGAGAAGATTGCAATTGATGATGTATAATATCATGTATAGGATAATGTTTGATAGGAGATTTGAGAGTGAAGAAGATCCTTTGTTTGTGAAGTTGAAAGCTTTGAACGGTGAAAGGAGTCGATTGGCGCAAAGCTTTGAGTATAACTATGGCGATTTTATTCCAATTTTGAGACCTTTTTTGAAGGGCTATTTGAAGGTTTGTAAAGAGGTTAAAGACAGAAGGTTGCAGCTTTTCAAAGACTATTTTGTTGATGAAAGAAAGTAAGTTTCATTTCTTTTTGTGAATATTCTAGGTTCTACCTTTTTATTTTGGGTTGAGAAAATGACTTTTTACTAATATGATTAAGTTTTTTTTCTTCTTTTTACCTTTTTTGTTTGGTTTGGATTAAGTTTAATTGAAATTGGGTTTATGTTAATAGGAAACTTGGAAGTACTAAGAGCACAGATAATGAAGGAATTAAATGTGCTATTGATCATATTTTGGATGCTCAAAAGAAGGGAGAGATCAATGATGACAATGTTCTATACATTGTTGAGAACATCAATGTTGCTGGTAAGATTCATATGATCCTTATTTTATTTATTTATTACTTCACTTTATTTCAAATATAATGCTAGTTCGTCTTTTATGCTTTAATAGATTAAGATAATTAGAATTGAATTTTGTGAACAAACCATTAAAATAAAACAATGATAATATTCCTTTGGTTTTTTTAATAAGAAAAAAAATTATTTTTTAATTTGAATTAATCTAGAAAGTCTTTTTTTTCTTAAATAGAATAAGAGGGATTAATAATGGTAATAATAAATCTCATCATAATGATAACTTAATGTAATAGATGGACATAGTTGTGATTTTAATTAGTAAATTAATACTAGTGTTATTTTGTGATGATCAGTCACCTCCCATTAACATTTTAAAAAAATGTTTTCTTCCATAAAAGAAAAAGTATGTTTCTTTTTTAATAATAAAAAAAAATTTACTTGTATACTAACGTACATAAAAATAAAACTATTAAGGATATTAGCTTTTTAACTAAAAAAATAATTTTAAATATGTTAAATAATCCATATTTTGTTCCTATATGATTCAGATACTAGTTTTATTCAACTTATTTAAAAAGTGATTTTTTTTATAATAAATACTATGGTACCTATAGGTAGTACTATTACGGTATGAAATGTCTACACGTGGATAGTAATCATTATTTGTCAACCAATGGATGAAAATGGAACACGTAGATTCGGCAACAAGTCATTAATTAAAGAAATTGGGGTAGGTGAATGATTAAATAATTATTTCCCTTGCAACTTGCATATGCTAGTGTTGGCTCCTTTAGAGGTGTAGTTAGTTCATCTATACGAAGACTCCATCTAACTTTCAAGTTCTTGTCAAATTTGAATACTTTTGGTGTGTCTATTCCAACCATGATCCATTGGATTTGTATTATCACTTTGACTTAAAAGTTTTAAAAGTAACATTTGCTTTTCAATTATAATCAAATTAAAGTCAATTTGATAATGACTTAATTATACACATGGTCTCTTAGTGGCCACCAAATGTTGTTGTTGCACCTACTACCTTCCAATAAAATAGTGCTCACCAAATTTTGTTGGTGCACCTACCTTCAAAATAGCATGATGATTACTTTACTTGATTGGTTTGGTTTAGATTAGAAGTTACTAGACGAAAAGGAAATCATATGCATCTTGAATTTGTATTCTTAGTAGAAAAGCATGAAAAAAATTTAGAAATGCATGAATTTGTGTTCATAATCATGTCAATTTCTAATGTACAAAATATTGTGTACTTTTTACAGCAATTGAAACAACATTATGGTCAATTGAATGGGGAATTGCTGAGCTAGTGAACCACCAAGAGATTCAAAACAAGTTAAGGGAAGAGATGGACAAAGTTCTTGGACCAGGACACCAAGTAACCGAACCAGATCTCGAGAAGCTGCCTTACCTACAAGCCGTGATCAAGGAAACGCTCCGTCTTCGAATGGCGATTCCACTTCTCGTCCCACACATGAACCTTCATGATGCGAAGCTCGGTGGTTTTGACATCCCGGCTGAAAGCAAGATACTGGTTAATGCATGGTGGCTTGCAAACAACCCGGCTCTATGGAAAAAGCCGGAGGAGTTTAGGCCTGAGAGGTTCTTGGAGGAAGAGGCTCATGTTGAGGCGAACGGGAATGACTTTAGGTACCTTCCGTTCGGTGTTGGTAGACGGAGTTGCCCTGGAATTATTCTCGCTTTACCTATCCTTGGTATTACTATCGGTCGTCTGGTTCAGAATTTCGAGCTTTTGCCTCCACCGGGACAATCTAAGATCGACACTTCTGAGAAAGGAGGACAGTTTAGTCTGCACATACTCAAACATTCCACCATTGTTGCTAAGCCAAGACTATTTTAATTAGGTTTCATTCACATTAATACTCTTTTAATTTGTTTTTCTTTACTTTGTGTAATGCATTTTAATGATCATTATGTGGGAATGTTATTAAAATGTCTTATTGGCCTGCAATGGTAGGTGAATAATGTCGGTTGATTTGTGTTTGTCACATGTATAAATCTTTTGAAGTTGAAGTTATGGTTGAGATGATTTTGTAACAACACTTGTCCCTTATATTCTCTCATGAATATTTTGTTCTGGTATAATGTTAATTAATAACTTTTCGTTTAACTTTTAGCTTTGGAACAAATTCCACACTTCCATCCAATTCCACATGAAAATCTACCTAGCAATTCCATAAGCCAAGCTCTTTTCACAAACACATTAGCATCATAAATAACATCTTGAACAAAAAAAAAAAAAAAATCAACATTAATCGCATATTCTACTAGTCAGACAGACACACTTAGATGCATACTACACAATATAAATCACGTGTATTCAAGTTTTGGTAAACTATGATGATTTATATTTTTCACATGCAAAAAACCCTAAATCTAACAAATCATTTCCCAACTGAACTTCTGTTGGATGTGAGAAATTCATGTAAGCTCTCTATAACTATGAAAGGGGAGTGTGAATATAGTGTGTTGAAAGGAAAGTTTGGAGTTCTTAATGGGCCGTTCTTAAGTGGAAATCAAGAGACTAAGGAAAGTTGAGAATTTCTTACCCCATCCTTTGGGTTTTAGGCACCACAGGCGTTTTTAAAAATACTCTCTGTTTTCGGAGATGTATCTTCTGACGCACATTTTGTTTACTTAACGTTGGTTTTTTTCGAAGCTACATCTACAAAATGTTTCCGTTTATATAGCTCTGGAACAAATCATAATACATTCGCGGCAAAGTCCATTCTCCTATCTCATTCTTCATTTTTCAACTTCTTCACTCTCAAACTCTCCAAACTCTCTCAATCCTCAAAAAACAATTTTCCACCAAACTTAATTGTTTCGACAAAGAGCATTCATATTAACGATCAAGAAACTCCAAATCATTCAAAGCTCGATATAATCGATAAGTTTTCGAGTTTTTGAGGTATTTCTCGTAAACAAGTTAGGATATAGTTTTAGGGGTAGAAATCATTAGATAGTTTTAGAAACATAGTTTCAAGGCTTCAAAGAATCAATTTTCATGGGTAGGGGACGCCATTGTCGTGGCTGTTAGAGTTGTAGGATGTTTTGGAGCTACATCTACGGAACAAATTAACGTTAAGGCAATTCCGTAGATGCAGCTCCGGAACAAATCAAACTTTCTGAATTCTGGATTCTTCCGTAGATACATATACGAAAGTTTTTCGCATGTTTACATCCAGAAGTAAAAAAATATTATTATTTTTTTAAATTTATTTGTATCTAATTGTTTTTTCTTGGTTATACCTTACATACATTATGGCAGACAGAGAAGATAGATTGCGACTTGGACGAGTTTCACAGCATGCATCTTGAGACGCGAGCGGAGCCAGACCACCGTTACCGAGGCCGATAGAGTTAAGGCACATCTTTCTTCATCACATGCCCAAGATATTCCCTGGACCTCGTATCCCATTTCATCATCCATTTCTTCATCCTGGAGGCGTCGGGACTCAGTTGAGGGTTCATCACAGGCCCCGTCCTCCCGCAGACCTCGTTAGGATACTCCTGGTTCTTCTTCTGTCGATGATCCGTTGCCACCTTTAGAGGGTGAAGACCCACCACCGGAGGATGCTGGTGACGACGACGATGACGAGCCTGAGGGTTTCCCAAGGTGTCCCTCAAATATGTCCCTGCTGACAGGGTACGCTGACCATACTGCTAGACATGTCTGAGATGGAGAGGTAACATTACTCAGGTTGTTTTTTTTCATTAGAAATTTATAATTTGTTCCATTGTTTCTTATTTATGGAAATTTTCAGACTCGTCAGCCGCATAAATTCTATAACCACGGATGGAAGATATTATCTTTGGAGTAGCCACGCGAGGCTTGGTTCTAGGATGTCCTTGCCTCCTCTAGTTTGATGGACCTTTGTAAGATCGGTTACAGCGTGATCCACAACGAGATGCTGATGGGCTTTGCGGAGACATGATACCCTGAGACGTCCTCCTTCCATCTACCGCACGACGAGCTCACGATCACACTAGACGACATCTCATGTATGCTACATATACTGATCAGAGGTATTGTCCTCCACCACGGTAGGATGACGAAGGAGGATGCGATAGAGATGTTGGTTGAGGAGCTTGTGGTTGATCCACTGGATGCGCTGGAGGAGGTTGATAAGACCAGAGGGGCTCATGTCAGGTTCCCCTTTCTCACCCGTAGGTTTGGTGAGGTGCTCGTTGCTGCACACCAGGAAAATGGTGATTCAGATAAGGTTGAGATACACAGGCAACGTGTGCTGAGATGTTATTTTCTATTCTTAGTCGACACTCATCTGTTTGTAGACACTTCCTTCACATATACGAATGTCGCTTACCTGAGGTACTTTTTGGATTCCACACAAATCCATGAGTAGAACTGAGGGGCGGCTACCCTGGCTTACATGTATTCGAGGCTGGGAGAGGGATGCCTGTGGAAGACCAGGACTGTAGCAGGGAGCGTGGCACTACTTGTGGTAACAATCTTATATCCTTAGACATTTTTTCATTTCTTTTCATTCTATATTCGAGATAATGCTTGATCCTGATGTTTTTTTATTTTCATTTCAGGCTTGGATATTCCAGCACTTTCCCATGATCGCCGAGCGGGGGAGTGTTCCTGATTACGCAGAGCAGATGCCGCGTGCCCGTGCCTTTCTCCTGATCAGGGGGAACCATGCGGTCGACCCTTATAGAGTCTATCTCGATCGCATGACTGCCGAGGACATCCGGTACGAAATCTATGCTGATCATTGTGTGACGCGTCCGTTTGACAACATCTCCCTATTCTCAGGATGGTTGGCATGTAGTTCGACCATCAGTGTTCCATATTTGCCCGAGCGCGTCATGCGATAGTTCGGCTACACTCAGACCATTCCTAGACACCCAACTGTCTCTGCTCCTCTCGACTTGACCCATATGCAGATAGAGGAGATCTATGCCGACTACCAGAGGCACATGGTACCTGACAAGGCTCGGGCGACCAGAGCGCCGAGAGACTAGAGTTGCGTTAATGGCTACATCATGTGGTTTTTCACCGTGTCAACCCTTACATGGTGCCTACTGCTGAAGGATCACCGCCCATACCAGCTCATAAGGACATCTTAGAGGAGTAGCAGTCTCAGTTGGACTATTCTCAGAATGATGTCATGCCTCGTTGTCGTCAGATAGTGGAGATGGGGCGGACATTCATTACCGTCGGTTTCTTCCTTGAGGGGTCTGACCACAAGCGTGTATTGGATGACATGATTGCGGTGGCAGCAGGGACACTTATGTACCGCAAGCATCGCGCCAGGACGAGTGGGATCGATGGCTGAGAACGCAGACTGGGCGGTCGAGGAGACGACAGAGGCAGATGAGGTGACAGAGGCATAAGCGAAGGAGGGGATGCATATGTTGTCAGGCACACACAATAGTGACTGTGATGTTTTTTTGATGTACTATATTTTGATGAAGATTGTCACATATTACTTCTCATATATATATATATATATATATATATATATATATATATATATATATATATATATATATATATATATATATATATATATATATATATATATATATATATATATATATATATATATATATATATATATATATATATATATATATATATATATATATATATATATATATATATATATATATATATATATATATATATATATATATATATATATATATATATATATATATATATATATATATATATATATATATATATATATATATATATATATATATATATATATATATATATATATATATATATATATATATATATATATATATATATATATATATATATATATATATATATATATATATATATATATATATATATATATATATATATATATATATATATATATATATATATATATATATATATATATATATATATATATATATATATCATATTAGTTTATTTACGGATGTATGTCATTTTTTATTCATCTACAACAATTAATTTCCATCTGCGACCAATAAAACTTCATTTTTTTTAAAACCTGCTCTGATAAGATTTCAGAGATGCCTCTCCAAAACTTTTTCCATAAATGCATCTACGGGAGCATCCAACGTAAATAGAAAAAAAGGTGCGTCTGAATATGTATCTCCGAAAGTAGGGAGCATAAAATGAATTTCCCTAGGTGCCTAAGAGTATCACGGGGTGGATTAAGAAATTCTCAGAAAATTTGGAGTTCTTAATGGGTCGTTCTTAAGTCGAAATCAAGAGACCAAAGAACTATATTTTATTTGTGTGATACTTATCAAAATTTTAATTTTAAATGATTTTTTTTCATTAGCTGACCCTTTTGTGCTGCAGAGTTAAACTTTTCTTGATTTCTTTAAATTAGTGATAAAATGTATTGGGTACGGTTCTGGATCGGCTACAGGTCCAATATGTGATTCAATTACTTCCCACTATATAAGTCATTATGTGTTTAATCTAAAGTACGATTCTAATCAAAATTAATTTTATCCTTTTATTTACTCAATGCATTAGACGTTGAAGTACTAACCTTGCAAATCTACCTCCACACAGCCACACTAGAGATTTGAACAACTGCATCAATCTTCCTCTATCTTTCTTTTTTCTTGTTGAATGTGCTTGCAGAGCTACATCACTCTTTGTCTTTCTTGCAGATCTTTCATTTATTTTTTGTTCATGAGATTCAAGTGTCCCTTGAATCTCTTCTTTTGTCATGCTTGACAAATCCTTCGATTCTTCTATGGCTACTACTATATGATCGAATTTTGGAGTCAATGAACTCAGGATCTCTTTAACTACTTATATTGATGTCAACACTTCTTTACACATCTTGATTTGATTCACCAGTCTTG